AGCCCATGGCACTTTCAATATTCTCCAACACCATAACTCAAAAGCATCAATTCTTCTATGGTCTTCCTTATTCATTGTCCAGCTTTTGCATGCATATGAGGTTATTGAAAATACCATGGCTTGGGTCAGGTGCATCTTAGTCTTAAAGCTGATATCTTTGTTCTTAAACACGTTAAAAAAGGTCTTGTGTAGCAGATTTACCTAATGCAATATGTCGTTTGATTTTTTGACTGCTGCTTCCATGAGTGTTGATAGTTGATCCAAGAAGAATGAAGTACTTGACAACTTCAATCTTTTCTCCGTTGATAAGAATGTTGTTTATTGGTCCAGTGGTGAGGAATTTTGTTTTCTTTACATTGAGATGTAATCCATACTGAAGGCTATGCTCTTTGATCTTCATCAGTAAATGTTTTCAGTCCTCTTCACTTTCAGCAAGCAAGGTTGTATCATCTGCATATTGCAGGTTGTTAATGAGTTTTCCTTGAATCCTGATGCCATGTTTTTCTTCATATAACTCAGCTTCTTGGATTGTTTGCTCAGCATACAGGTTGAATAAGTATGGTGAAAGAATACAACCTTGTTGCACACCTTTCTTAATTTTAAACCGTTCAGTGTTTCCATGTTCTGTTTGAACAACTGCCTCTTGGTCTAGGTACAGATTCCTCATGAGCACAATTAAGTGTTCTGAAATACTCATACTTTGCAATGTTGTCCATAGCTTGTCATGATTCACACAATCGAAAGCCTTTGCATAGTCAATAAAGCACAGGTAAACAATTTTCTGATATTCTCTGCTTTCAGCCAAGATCCATCAGACATCAATGATATCCCTCGTTCCACAGCCTCTTCTGAATACGGCTTGAACCTCTGGAAGTTCTTTGTCAGTGTATGCTTGCAGCTGTTTCTATATTACCTTTAGTAAAACTTTACTCGCATGGGATATCAAAGAGATTGATGATTTCCACATTCCATTTGGTCAACTCTCTTTGGAATGGGCACAAATATGGACCTCTTCCAATCAGTCGGCCAGATAGTTGTCTTCCAAATTTCTTGGCATAGATGAGTGAGTGCCTCCTGTGCCGCCTCACTTTCTTGAAAGATTTCAATTTTTATTTAATCAATTCCTGGTGCCTTGTTCTTTGCCAATTCTTTCAATGCATCTTGGACTTCCTCCTTCAGTATCATTGGCTCTTGATCATATGCTGTTTCTTGAAATGGTTGAATATTAACCATTTCCTTTTGGTACAGTGACTCTGTGTATTCCTTCCATCTTTCTGTCACTTAGTAGTTGTTAATTGGGTTAATTACTTAAGCTCTCTTGCCTGAGTTTTTCTGTTTGCCAAAGAGAGATAAACTGACTTTTGATGGCTGCCGTAAGCATTATACTGTCTATAAAGAAGCTTAATAGCAACTTGGCTAAGCTAAGAACTACCATGGGCTAAGCACTCTGCCCACGGTAGTTCTATGCTGTTGCTTTTCCACTTAGTCTTTGTTTTTTTAAATGTTTTATTGTGGATTATGTGATTGTTTTACATGGGAGAACATTAGTTTTACATTCATCCTATCCTATATCATTTCATTGCCATGGTTATAATCCCCTCCATTCATCATCAACCCACCAAAGGGTATACACTACAAGCCTGCATCCCAGTCATCGGCACACAGCCCCTCTCCCTCTCTGGGTCTAAAGTCCCCAGCTGCTCCATCTCTCCATGTCATCGTCTCTGCCTCCATCTCCAGCGTCACTGCTTCTCTGGCTAGCGTCCCGCTCTCCGCTCTTCTCCCTTGATGGTCCCAGGGACCTCTGCTCCTAGACCGCAGAGTTAATCACTCCTCCCCTTGCTACAAAACATCTACCTTTACATTTCTAACCCTCACAAGCAGTCCTGATAACAATCATTCACTATTGTATCACAAGAGACCTATCCACATTTCATTTCACCAGCCCTGCCTAGATAGATTGGATACTACTCAGTGGAGATTCTGCCTTCCTCCATGCCCTCTGGATCTTGGTTCCTTCTTGAAAGCTTGTAAGCCAGTCACTTCTTGCCTTTGTAGCCCTCCCACTTTGGGTAGCCAATGTCCAAGTTGCCCATCCCTGTCTACTCTTTCACTTAGTCTTGACATCAGTGTTGTGTTACTACTGCATCTCTAAGCCAGTAAAGGAGTTCCTGGGTGGTGCAAATGATTAGCACTTTTGAACCCATCCAGAGATGCCTAACAAAAGATTGGTGGTGGTTGGTTATGTGCCGTGGAGTCAGTTCCGATTCAGAGCGACTGTGTATAGTGATTCTGAGGCTGTAAATCTTTACAGAAGCAGATAGTCTAATCTTTCTCATGTGGAATTGCTGGTAGTTTTATACTGCTGACCATGAGATAAGCAGCCCGAATTGTAACCACTACACTACATGAAAACTCTACAGAACACAGTTCTCTGTAACACACAAGTCACTGTGAGCCAGAATTGACTCAATGGCAGCTGGCTTGTGTTTAGGTCAGTGAACAGTACTAACTGTCTCTCAAATAATATTTTTTTTGTTTTCTCTATGTCATTGCTGTGCTTTCAGTACTTTGGATGGATTTCTTCTCTTCTGTTGTTCACTCAACCTCCCTTGAGATCAGTCTCTCCCCCTTCTGGAATGTCTACTAAGATGAAGAGGGAGGGAGGCCCATGGCTTCAAAGTGAGTAAAGCTAAGGGGCCTATTTGAGAATCACTCCTTTTGACTTGGGCTCACTATCTAGGTTTTTGTATTTGCTCTCTGAACTTTAAGGCTACCAGTTCCTTCCAGTGGCATCCAAACTGCATGCTTACAAAATTCTATAGTGAGTTATTTAGTGAGAAAATTGTGATCTTAAAGTAAATTGTTTTTATTGCTGTTCTTGTTGTTAGACATTTTGATCTGACCATATTGCCAGATGGTAGGTACATAGCCAATGTTCACCAAATTATGTACAACCTAAATCACATTGTTATATTTGAAATGATGTTTCATTCCATTAGTATCACTTAAGATTTATTATGGTGATCATAATAAATTTATATCAACAACTGGGTGATTTGCTCAATGCAGGAAAAAGTACTTGTCAAAACTTTTATTTTGCCTCTTAAAATATTCCTTCCTGTCACGTGCAACATGGCAGCTTGCTTCCTCAAGTGTAACAGGAGCATGAGAGTAAGTCTGCTGGCAAGACTGAGTCTTATATAAAGTAATCACAGAAGTGATGCCCCATCACTTGTGCCATACTCTTATCAGTTAGAAGTAAGGCACAGGTGCCATCCACACTCAAGGAGAGGGGACTGTAATCACGCAAGGTGCAAACAAAGGAGGTAGGGCTCAAAGGGACACCTTAGAATCTACCCACTATAAGAGCTCCATGTGCTTTGCCACCACTGAATCCTGCGTGCCGTAAATTAGAGCCTAGCATAGACGAGGCAATTCATAAGATTTTCAGTGAGAACTGCAGACAGAGTGCTCCTTGGGGGCAGAATGGCCAAACTTTGTCTCTCATACTTTGGACATTGTCAGGAGGGACCAGTCACTGTAGAAGGATATTGTGTTTGGTAAGGTGGAGGGTCAGAGAAAAAGAGGAAGACCCCCAGTGAGATGGATTGGCCAAGTGGCAGCTTCAGTGGGCTCAAGCGTAGCAACAATTGTGAGGTTGGCCTAGAACTGGGCAGTGTTTTGTTCTCTTGTGCATAGGGTTACTATGAGTCGGTGCCGACTCGATGGTACCTAACAACAACAACAACAGACGAGTCACTCAGTAAGTATTTGTAGTTGAATGAATTAATAATGTTGTAAATATTACTTCTTTGAACCATCTGTCAATGGTTCAACTACAGGCTTGTAATTTATCTTTTGTTTTATTCTTCGTTTTGATGTACAGATATGTTAAATTTTAATTTAGTCGAATCAACATTTTTTTCCCCTTTCTTTTGTACCATTAGTTGACATCTTAGGGAGTCCTCCTATCTACATTTCTGAAAATTTTCGCCTATATTTTCACCTAGGTCTTTTATGACTTTGTTAACACTTAAGTCTGATCTGTCAAAAAAACTAAGAAAGAAACTAACAGCTGTATTGAATAATCCTTTCTTATTTTTTCTTTCATTAACCTTTACTACTTTATTGAAATTTGATTGGATCAGCATGTATAAGCTTCTAGGGAGTTATTCTGTTTCATTTACTTGTCATTCTATTCATGTTTCAGTTACAGACTTTTAAAATCAGAGTATTCTTCGTCAGAAATGGCAAACAAGTTACTTGCAGAGTCATTCAGTAGCATAATTAGGTCATAGCCTAAGCTGTTGTTACAAAGATATTCCAAAACACAGATGCTCAGAAAAAAATGAGAAGTTCATTTACCTTTCATAGAACATTGTAGAGGTGGGTATGTGGAGTCCTGAGCAGTTGGGGTAGCTCTTCTCCACGAAGTCATTTAGAGCCCCAGGTTCCTTCCCTCATGCAGCTCTGCCAACTGTATGATACGGTGACACCCTGCTGTGTGTGACTGAAGCTGTGGCATCACCATAGCCATGTTCCAGGATGTGGCAAATGAATGGTCGAAGTCCTGGGAAAGTGCCTCTGCCTTTAAGCTGCTGAAATAGAAATGGCATGTTATTACTTCAGCTCACATCCCTTGGGTCTTGACTAAACTATATTGCCACATCTAACTTCACGGGAAGCTGTGACTATGACATCTAGTAGGGTGAATGTGGATTTTAAAGGTGCTATTATTAAAAGAAATGGGTACTAAGGTCTGGTAATAGTCTTTGTTGTAGTCTGACGTTCATATTCATATACAAATAATCTTATTATATAATGAAGTACTAATCATTTTTACCAAGTGAAAAGCAAAGATTTTGGATATGGCAATAAAATATAAATATGTTCTGATTTTTGGTTTTAGATGGCCAGTGACCCATGTGCCAGGTAGCAATCTATGCTAAAATTCAATGTCCAAAAGACACCAGTGGGCAGCAGTCACTCCCAAGATCATAACTTGGCTATTGGAGTAAGTTGGAAAAGAAGAAAAAAGATAGATTGGAACTATGGCCAAAGTAAATAGAGCTCAGTATACGTCCCCTCCAGATGGAGGTTGGGGCTGGATGATTGTGGCTGCCTGTTTCCTCGTTACCATCTGCACCCGGGCAGTCACAAGGTAGGTGGGATTTTCTTCTTCTTTTATTAGTATGAGCTGACTTTTTGTTTAAGTCTGCTTTATTTTATTTTTGAACCTATAATTGCAAAAATATAAGTGTATATATGTATGGGAGGTGTGTGTGTGTACCCGTGGGTTTATTTTTTTTCACTGCTCAGAATGTGATTTTCTAACACTTTAAAGTCCCAGGTTGTTGTTGTTGTTGTTGTCAGGTGCCATCGAGTCGGAACCGACTCATAGCGACCCCATGCACAGCAGAACGAAACAATGTCCGATCCTGGGCCAACCTCACTACCGCTGCCACACTTGAGTCCATCAATGATGCCACCTGGCTGATCCGTCTCGTTGGGGGTCTTCCTCTTTTTCTCTGACCCTCCACCCTACCCAGCATGACATCCTTCTCCAACGATTGTTTCCTCCGGACAATATGTCCAAAGTAGGAGAGAGTCCCAGGTTAAAAATGGGAAATTTTATGTTGTATGTTTTGAGATAATAAAAAATTCCTTGGTAAAGATGTGTTAGGTCATATTTAGAACAAATGACATGATTATTCCAGTGACTGAGTTCCATAAAGAACCCCAGAAGATGTGCAAGTGTGTTCTTCTGTCATATTCCTTCTAATATGGGAACAATTCTGACTTTTTCATTAAATGAAACAAGCATAATGAAACAATTCCTCCAGGGTTTTAAAAGAATTGCCATAAATTATCATAAGCCAACATTGTTCTAAGGATAGATTAAAACAATTTCTGTGAGCATATTTTTCTAGAATTTTCTTATCTCTTATCTTCTCATTCAGATTTTACAGCGGAAAAAGGGAACTAATTGAATATATAATTCATAAATTAAAATGCACTGTGGACAAACTGATGGCAAGAGAGTATAAAGGTGTAACATGTGACTTTGAGTACAGGGAAGAGGAGAAGAGTGTGATTGTGAGGCTCACAAGGGATTTACAAACATCTCACATGGAGTTCATCCTACCTGGGGTTGAGGTCTATATTCATCCCACAAGGGAAAAATATGAAAGTCAAAATAATTCTTAAAAATCTATTGGCTCACCAGGAACTGGTGGTGGTGGTTATGTGCTGTGGAATCGGTTCCGACTAATAGTGACCCTGTACAGGGTTTCCAAGGCTGTAAATCTTTACAGGGACAGAAAGCCTCATCTTTCTCCCACAGAACAGCTGGCAGTTTTGAACTGCTGACCTTGCGGCTCGCAACCCAATTCATAACCACTACGCTACCAGAGCTCCGCACCAGGAACTGGGTCCTGGTAAACTTGAAAATCTAGAGTTTAAATGTTTTGCATTTTGGCTGTGATGGTGGAAGGAAAGCAGTTGACTGCAACCACATAAACACAGAAATTCTCTCATTCTTGTTTGCTTGTCTCTATATATCACTTTTTCTTCTCCAAGCATATAGAATTGAATATGCTTAAGTTAAAAGTGTACAATGAGACTCATTCTTCCTGTGATTGAAATAAATACCATTTTGAACTCTGCATTGCTAGCTCTTCTCTGTACTGGTGTGTTCATTTAAATAGAACTCTCTTGCTATTCTCTGTCAACACACTCTTGGCAGTACATGAAAGTAACTTGCAGAAGTTACTGCAGTTGATGGCATCATGGATAAAGGCACTGGTATTTCCTCAATAACAAAGCTATAATGCAGGAAAGAAGCCGGGCAATTATTTTTTGCTACCATAAGGTGGGTTGATTGTATGCCATGATAAGCTGTAGCTTTGTTTAAAATTTATATTCACATATAAATACAGGTTCTTTTTGTTTATATAATGAGACCATACTATATAAACTGCTCTGAACTTTTTCCCCACTTAGTACTATCTTTTGGAAGTCTTCCCATATCAGCACATATGGCTTCACCTCATTGAAAAATAGCTGCTTCAAATCCCACCATATGGATGTGTCCATAATTGGTTTAACACATTTATATTGATGTTATTGTCTGATTATTGCTATTACAAATAATGCTATCACTGTGACCCAGGGTATTTTTAAATCCTGGGTTTCAGCTCTTACCCTGTGCCTGACCATGCTGCCTCCCATACTAAATTTACATAAAGTTTAATGTTGTGAGAGCTATTCTTTTTTTTCTTCAGAAAGTTGTTGCTGCTGCTGTGGTTGTGAAGTGCCCTGGAGTCAGTTCTGACACCTGTATAGGGTTTGAGAGGAATGGCTGGTGGTTTTAAACCCTCGACCTTATGGTTAGCAGCTCAGTGTTTATCTCATAGCGCCTCTCCTTCAGGCCCTTAGTACACATTCACTTGGTTTTTTCTGGACATCTTAATATCAAATACATTATCTATGGTAAGAATCATATTTCATTGTGTAATTGTGTGATACTCTATTTTTTTCATAAATTGACCACTTGAGTTGGAGTTGATACTTGAAAAGCAATGTTTGGTTTAAGTGTCCAAAGAAACTCTCCAGGGCTGAGACTTCTTTTTCTCTAAGTCTTTTGGATCCAAGTTAACTTAGTACAATAGATGTCTAGAGTTCTGTGGAATTGTGGAACTCTTTTAAGAACAGCCAAGTTCCTACAAATAATGACTAATGTTTGATGAACACTTCTTCTGTGCTCATTGACATTGTTCCAAGCACTTTGCTTGATAAAATCATTTAATCCATATAACAGTGGAGATCGGCTGAACAATGTGTTCAAGGTCCCATAGCAATACCCTTTGAATCACTTTCTGCATTGATTCAGTGGATTCCTTTCTTGTCCGGAGAGAAGTCTTAACCAAATGTCAGCTGTTGCCAGCATCAAACACTCGGGGACCCAGAAGTAAAATTTTACAAGAGTAGAGGCAGCAACCATCTGTAAGAATGTAATGTCATAATAGATGACACGTGGGAGATATTTTGTTTCCACCTTCTTATAAATAGCCTAGGAAACCATGAAAGGATGCTAGTTGTTTGCTAATGCAGCGTAGTCTAACTTAGTCTGCCTAATACAGTCCGGTTTGCCAAACTACTTGTTTTATAGATGAGTAAAACCCTGGAAGCTTTATCAAGGACACTCATTTATCCAATGTGAGAAGCAGCGATTAGAAGCCTGCCAAAGTAATTTCCAGAGTGAGAATCACATGTATTCGTAATAAAATTTGTTTTCTTTAAGGTTGTGCTTGTATTTAGAAAGCAGAAGTGATGAAACTTTGCAATTTGGAAATTTCTGTACTTTCATTTGCTTTTGAGAACAACTAAGAAGCAATACAATACTCTTCCCATGTTCCTTGAAAGTCACAATAATTCAGAAGTACATATATGGTGTGGTGCTGCAGGTTAATGCTCTGGACTGCAAGGTCAGTGTGAACCACAAGGTCGGTGGTTCAAGCTCACAAGCCACTCCTCGGAAAACCCATACAGGGTTGCTATGAGTCAGAACTGACTTGATGGCACTTTACAACAACAACAACAACAACACTTATGGTTATTCTGTCAAGCCTGTTTATATTTTTAGACAATAATATCAGGAACTATGATTATTTTTTAAATTGATCTTATTTATTGCTGATGTTGAGAATATACACAGAACATACACCAATTTAACCATTTCAACATGTATAGTTCCATGACATTGGTTATATTCCTCAAGTTGTACAATTCTCACCTTTCTTTTCTAGATTGTTTCTTCTCCATTAACATGAACTCATTTTCCTAAAAGCTTTCTACCTAACCTTTCGCATTATTGTTGTCAATATGATCCAATTTGATCTCCTAGAGATAGTTCCTAAAAGAGCACAATGCTCAAAGCAGACTGGAATGAAACTGTTGTTATGTTTTTTTTAAGACTTCAGGGAGATTTTTGATTAAGGCTTACAAATTAACTCAGAGCTATAGTTTCAGGGGTTCCAGGGTCAGCGATTGTATTTGATTTTCACAAATCTAGATAGTCCATAAAAATGAGAGAAACTCTCAATGAGATGATGACACAAGAAGAACAACAGTAGGTGCAACCGCATTGAAGGTCCTGAAGCTGACCTGGAACCAGGCGATGTTTGGTTCTGCTGTCAACAAGGGTGCCATGAATCAGATCCGACTTAACAGCAACTGACAGCAAGAGATGTGTTTGACTGGTACGACTGGTTAGTCAATTGATGAAACAACAAGCAAAATAATAATTATAATAACAAAGTAAGATTAAAAAAGAGTCACAAGAGTCAGACATACTCACACAAATGTCAACTTGCCAAAAGAGATTGAGTGAGGAAGAAAGAAGAGATTAGGACCTATGGTATGAATCAGGGTAGAGGTAAGTGGCGGGATTTGAGATACAAGTAGAAGGTAAAATAGGTAGAACTTGGCAACTGATTAGACAGCTGATACTGATCTCCAGGAGACATTTTGGATAGAGGACAAGGATGCTGCTTAACATCCTAACAGCAAGGATCTGTCTGGCTCAGAATTTAAATTGTATAAGGACAGTTAAACTGTTTTGATAATGAGGCTATATCCAACAGATCATCCTTTACATAAGTAAAAGCCTAGTGGTTAGAAGAAAAGAATTGACTTTTTAGTACTAGCAATCTTTAGGATGTTAAGAAACAGCATAGCGACTTTTGCACTGAATTACAACTAGTTTAAGGCTGTTGCAGTGAAATTATGCTCTAAGAAAGCTTAGTGATTTTCTGCTAGTGATTTTCTGCGATCTCCTCTTACCTCTGCGCCAATTTCCACGCCACCACCATGCTTTCAGTCTGTGTCCCGCTTGGCACCATTAACCACCAGCACCTCCAGCTTTCTCCCATGAAAGGGCTTAGCCTGGCAGACAAGGAGAACATGCCTCCATCTCTCAGCAGTACCCTCGTTCTGGCAAGCAAGGCTGCCAGGAGCCGGACACATGTTCCTGCCTCCTCTGAAGAGGATGAACCATTGCTGAGAGGAAGTCCTGGGCGCTTTGTCAGCTTTCCTACTGAATACCATGATATTTGGCAGATGTACAAGAAAGCGGAGGCTTCCTTTTGGACCATAGAGGAG